CTCATAATTAGTGAACTTTTATTCACTGTTTTATTCACTTCAGATTTTAATGTTAAAGAATAATGTGTACAAACAGAGGAGGAAAAAAAATTGCTATTTCATCATCACTCCTAACATTTTGTCCTTTGTGGAGCATGTGCTTTTATTAATGTTTCTGTTTAAAGACATGAAAATTTACTGGAAAGGAAACCTATAAAGGAACTGAAAATAAATACTAAAAAATCTTTCAGTTCTGGTGTTTGGCTCTCTGCAAGTGCTGTCTGTCTACCGCTTGCCCCTAATACCCCATGTCTTCAGTTGATGCTCAGGTAACTCCTGCATATCTTTTAGGTCTTATCTCAAACATTCCTTTAACTGGAAGTCTTCCCAGGAATTGCCTAAGACTAGAGTTTTGGCTCTGCATCTACCCTACTGTAGAAACAACTGCAGTGCACTGATCACCATTTCAGTTATTTGAAGCATCTCCTCAGACATACTTGACAATAAGCTCAGAAAATACCCAGGAATGGGCTTATTCGCTGTGTTGTAGCCTTAGGACCTAGCTTAGGGTGGGATGTAAAATAGCAGAGGGATACTTTAATATATGTTGAATGAAGGGCTCAGGGTGATTTTATGATAAAAACTGCAGTTTTTAAAGCATTTCAGTTTTTTCTCTTGGGTTTCAAACCACACTAAGTATTTTTTTTCCTGGAAAAGTGTGTGTGTATGTGTGTGTGTGTGTATAAAATTTTTAGGATCATGGTTGCCAGGTTAGAAGCCCTGTACTAGACTATGCATGATATGACTTCATACTGTTAAGTATCTCGGTAAACAATCATTTGGCTTCCCCTGACAAAATATCCACCGGGACATGCACTTTTTTTACTAAAACACATGCAATCCTCAGATAGGATGGGACTACACTAGCATACGGTGATATTAATGAATAAAAGTACATCAGTAAATGCCAAAGGAGTTCTCTCCCACAGTCACTAAGTAACACTTACCATTTCATTTTCAGGGGATATTTCCTCACTTATATCACATCAATAGATTACTCCCCAATGGAATGGAGAAACCTGATCTCAAACATACATCCATGCTGTCATATGGGAAATGTGGTCACTTTCAGTGTGATGGCTTTGAAGCAGGATTGTCCTTTGGCAACTATGTAGTAGGTTTACACTTGTTTTTACAGTAGCCTCTAGCATGCTTTACATGGACTATGAAATCATTGAGGGTAAGGGCTATCTGTTTCTTCGTCCCTAGAAATAGACTTTTCATTAAGGGATACCTAATAAATATTTCTGACCAACTGACAGATCAAATCACATTCCTTGCATATAGTACAGTATCATTACTATACTCAGACGTTTTGTGAAAGCTATTTCTTTATACATGACAGTATAAATGCCAGGTATTCTAACTGAAGACTAAGGCAAATGCAATGACAAGGGGGAAACTGCCCTGTTATGCAATAACAGCATGTATGAAGCTTTCCCTCATAGACGGTTGTCCACAGTAAACCTCAAAGACTTGAGCAAAGGTTCTCTTCTCAATGTGTCTATTCAATATATCATTTCTTTATGGTCTGTCTCACTGTCTTTGAGGACATTTTCTAAGTCAAAAAAGGAATCACAAAGCTACAGCTGTCTTTATAACCAAATTCTATCATTTATTAAACTGATTATCTGTGCATTACCTCTCAATGTTGGATTCTCTATTTTTAAAAGGTTAGGAACACAAGTATTTCTTGATAACAGCTTTATTTTTAACCAATTACTTTCTTGTTTATTGAGGCACAAGAAAGGACAATGCTCAGACAGAAATTTAAGCTATTAATGTTCATCTTTATCTAGTAAAGAACTGGTTTAGACTGCCCCAGAAGGTTAGGCATAAAAACAGAAATACATATTAAAATGGTAATACATTTAAGAATGTGGCTTAAACTGTAGACTCAAATTGCTCCATTAATAAAAACACAAATAACCTTAACAGGATGCTTGACATTAATCATTTCATTTAATCCTCCTAATCTACTATCAAGCAATTATCATACCTAACTGCTTGCTATACTCAAGTTCCACCAGTTCATTGGGTGCTGTTTACAATGGACCACCTGCACCCCATATCTGTCTGGTGGTCACCTAGTCTTTTCCCAAGGTCCAGCCCAAGACTCATTTGCTTGATGAAATCTTTTCAGAATCTGGGGCCTCTCTGGGGGTGCAAGGGGTTAAGACGCAACCTATGAAGCTATTCGCAGCCACTGCAGCACAAGTTCGAGCCCCAACGAGGGAGCAACCTAATGGCACAGCAGACTTCTCCTGACTCACACACTGTGTATTTCAGTCAATCCGCCTGTTCTGTTTCCGACTCTGTCTCTGGTGAATCTTCTCACACCCCCACTCCTCTGGCCTGTACCCCAGTTCTTGTATGCATAAATAAATAATTTTTTTTTTTTTTAAAAAGAAACCTTTCCAGGATCTTTTCCTCCCCTATGACTCCTATGGAGTCAATCCCATGGTCTTTCGGAGAAATATATTTTTAATCAGTTGTTGCTGGAGATTTGCTTCTAGTTTTAAATAAAAGTGTATTTTTAAAAAAGGAGAAAGAGAACATCTCCTTGACCATCAATAAGCACTGAAATAATGAAGTGGCTGCTTTTAGGCCCATGTAGTTACGTGTTAAGCTAGGGAGAAACTCTAGTATACACTGGCCTCCACTGTGGCCTGCAGAGTGAGAGGCAGAACTCTGTTTTCAGAAAACAAAACTTCTACTGCTGAGACCATACATAACCAGTCTACATTATTATCTTAAGAGGATACATTATTCTTTTTGCCCATTTTCTTTCAAGGGGCCCCACTGTGTGTCCAGATGTCTTTCCCTTTATGAATTTACCAGGAAATATTCTGTGAATACTACCATCTGTCCAGGCACAGGTGCTCCATTTTGTCAAAAAGGTTAAGATTCACAAAATCACTGTCATGACGACCACCACTTAAATGTTGATAGAAAAACTAAACCTAATAATTGTCACTGATATTAACATTAAAGCAGACACTTCTTGGTCCAAGAGACTGTTCAGACATCAGACTTAGCCAATGGAGCAAGAAATAAAAGCCCTGTTAAGCACAATCTGGTTTCCTATCATTAAACCTACATCATTTTCCTATCATTAAACCTGCTTACCTGTTCTTTGCTTTCTTTTACTATTTTCATTTCTAACCATTTGAAATTATTGCTTCTGTTGCCCAATTTAAGACAAAATTCCAGAATTCATTGTATTTCCCTATTTTTCTCCATATTCTCTATAATTGATTGTAACATGTTGGAAACCTCCTATTTGTCTGTTTTCCTTAATCAAAGCATATGCCACTTATCTCTTCAATTATAGGTTTCATGTATTTTCTGTCACAAATTTCTCCATGAAGAATTTAAACAGCATCACTATAAATGTGTACATGAACCAAAGAGCTCACTTTTGCTCACTCATAGGACTCTTGTTCAGAAAAAAACACATAATCAAATACTAAAATTGTTAAAAATTATTTTTGAGACATGAACACTGATTTTACGAGTAAGGGAACACTTCATATCGCATGACTTTCAAAGTGGGCGAAAATATTTTTGTAAAACAACATGCAAACTAAGGCATTTGCTAAAAGACTTCATGGTATCCTTCTAAAAATATTGTTCTTTTTTATAGATTCCGAAAGATTTGGTGACTGTTTTAAACAGTGCTGGTATTGTATGAAATTACAGTTAATGTTTCCTAACATTTGTGCACATCAACATTTAGAGCCAAAAGAAGCTGTCCAAATGGCAATCAACTGTGAAAAGACTCAAAGGTCTTAAAAATTACTTAAACATGCCCCTAAAGACACCCCAAATGACTGTTTTGTGTTCTGTGATGTTAACTCTCTTTAAAACTTTCTCAAGGTTAAGTCTGACTGGGAAACCAAAACCCCTATCAGACATAAAGGGTGAATCTGAACCATGATAAGATTCCAACACAAGGTCAAGGACAGAAATCACTTTTCCTAACATGATCTACTATGTGCCATTTACCTTATGACTTCTGTCCAGCAGCTATCCTAATCATCAGTTAGATATTTATGAAGACTTTCTCCCATATGACAGCATTTCTGCCTTCACTGTTTAAAACACTAGCTAAGAGGCCACTACATAAAAAAACAAAACAATTTATAGCTATGATTCAAATTAACACTCTGCTTTATGGTATTGGGTTAAGATATTTACGGGCAGAAGCTGAAAACCTCTCATAACTTAGAAAAGATTCTTGGATAAAGTCTTGAGTCAAGAGACCACAAAAGTTTAAACGAGACTGACAGTGCAAATTTCAAATGGGTCATCACAGTTACAACAAATAACATTAAAAAATCAATAGCCAATAGATCCCATGGGTAGGGATTACCTTATTAATCGTGTTTGCATTATGATCTTAAAAGAGTCTACATTCATTAAACAGTGCTAAATATAAAACTGTTTTCTCATCTAATAATCCATATTATCAAAATACATGATAATGTTTTACCAAATGATTTCTAGATGTCATAATCTTAACATCACACCTGATAAGATACACCTTGAGTATTTCAATTCTATCATGTACAATCCTATGATTACAGTCATGTTGTTTTAACTTTATTAATCACTACAATTTCTATAATATTCTAATATATAAATCAAGGTAATAGTTTTTCCATTATTGTTTAGGATCACGTATTATAAGTGACCGCAAATGTTCTCATTAGAGGCATAAAGACAAAGAACTCTTAGCAAGTACCTGCATATTTTGAAAGCACATCTCAGGGAGCACAGAAAAAAAATTTGTTTTGTCAGTAAAGGAGAGAAAGGGATCTGGGTAGTAGATAAGGATGAAAAGTCTTCAGGGTTGTTAATAATTTAGAATATGGGTCCTTCCTACCTCCTCCTGCCTCCCAGCCCATGGAAACAATGAGAATGCTGGTGAGATATGAGTGGACAGAGTCTGACCATACCTTCATGGGTAGGCTCTGGGTCAGGTGTAAGTGAGATGTCATCCAGCTCTCGCAGGCAGAGCCATTCTCCATCCATAGACACTCGGAATTTGCAAAGGTAGATGGTCTCCATGGCAGCCTGTGTGATCTTGTCAGTGGTGGGGGTTGGCATATCGGTCGGAGGCGTCAGAGCAGACATGATGACTCAGCTGGGACCACAACACACACACACACACACACACACACACACACGAAAAAAAATAAAAACTCCTCACCAAACCCCCCAAATCCAAAGCTCTGGAACAAAGCTTTTAAGAAAAGGGGTAGGGAAGGTTAATAAAAAAAAACCACAAGAACCAACTGTTTAAGATAAACAATTCTATACTATCTTTTCTCAGACAGTTCCTACCACTTAGCAAAATAAGATGATTGTCTTCTCTCAGTTTCCTCTTCTTCTAGCTTCCCTTCCCTACCCCCTTCTTTTTCAGCTGAGCTATAGGCTTGAAATCCTGTACAGCCAGCCTATGCCACCATAGCAGGCTTTAAAAAACTGGCCTCTGCATGAATAAGTGAAAAATCCTCCTTCTTTGTGCAGGAAAAAAAAAATACAAAAGAAAAAAACTGAACAAGAAATAAACCTATACTTTCAATTTAGTCTAAAAAAATCTTTAACTGCAGAAATCACTTCCAGGATCTGCTCAGAGCCGGGATGCTGAGTTCTAATAGGATTGGTTGTGCGCAGTAAGCAGGGTGTTGACCAAAATGGCTGACTAATGAACTGAACTGAAAATTCAGGCTCATGTGACCAGCTGCTCTGAACGTAGGGCGAGCAATTCCCAGGATGCTTTATAGATGCTGCTGATGCAGGAAGAGCAATTAGGCTGTTCACTCTCATCCTGCACAACCCACTTCCAGACTGTGCTAGTCAAACTGTGATCAGACATAACACAATGAACATATCCTCATCAATTCCCCTTACTTGGGGATAGGAGAGCTAGCTCATAGAAGGGCAATAATACTAGGAAATGCTCCATAGCAAAGATGATAAAGAAGCAATAGATTAATGAGCGTATAAGTCAACTTTTCCTTTTATTCTTATACATTTAACTATTTTTTTTTTTACTCTGCTAACGGTGCTGTTTTGAGAAAGGCAAAGCAGATTTTCAGTTTAAATATCATACTGTAGGCATTTATCATACTGTGTTCTTTCTCCAAGAACAAAGAACTGACTTTTTAGTCTGCACAGAGGTGCAAAAAAAAAAAAAAGGTTAAAAAAGTAAAATCCTTCCTGATCAGTAGCAATTTCCCCTCTTAATGAGGTTGCTGGTTGCTGTTTGTCAGGTTTCTGCATTAGGCATGGATTATGCATCTAGAAGACAGAGCTATGCTGTATTTTAAATATTCTTTCATTGTGACTCCCTTGGTGAAGCAAGGGGTTAAGTCTCAGCACTATGAAGCTACCTGCAGCCACTGCAGCACAAGTTTGATCTCTGGGTGGTGCAGCAGACCTCTCCTGTCTCGCCCACTGCTCCCCTCAGCAGTGTATTTCAGTAGATCTGCCTGTTGTGCTCGCCACTCTGTCTCTGGTGAATCCTCTTACTGCCCCGCCCCCCCCCCACAACTCTGGCTTACACCTCAGCTAAATAAAATAAATATAAATAAAATAAATATTTTTTAAAAAGATTTTTTTTATTTATGCACACAATTAACTGGGGTACAGGTCAGAGGAGTGGGAGGAGTGGCTGTGGATAGCTTCATAGGTTGCATCTTAACCCCTTGCACCACCAGGGAGGCCCAATAAAATAAATCTTTAAAAAAAAATTCTTCCATCCAGGAGCTTCAGAAGGGCACTTGTCATACTCTCCCAAACCAACCAACCGACTCACTCATACCTCAAGCATACCTATATTATCTATATCAAGCATTTATAGAATGGTGGCAGAAATGTTAAGTATTTGCTCTCTGAGCTACATGAATAACAAAGAGATAGGGATGGTATGGATTTTTCTGTGAAAATGTTTTGGATGATTAAAAACAAAATTTTTTTCCCACTTAAGGGAAAAAATTAAGGGTTAAGGAGGAATATGCAACTTTGAGCAATAATCTCAAGATGATTTATTGCATTCTAGGATTTCTTTTCAGAGGCATACCTTGATTCATTAATTTTGAAAAACTGGAAGAAATAATTTTTTCTTGAAAATCATTAAATATGTCTTCTTAATTTGAGACTGAGCTCAAAGAAACACTAAAAGCCAGATTCCATAAGTAAACAGGCATTTTCATATTGTTGGAAGGCAAAGTGGTACAGTGTAAGCTAAGAATGCATTTATACACAAACACACACGCACACACATATATAATATGTGTATTTATAATTGGGGGAAATCAGCAAGTTACTAAGGAAAATAAAATAGAGGTTTATTCATTTCTACTTAAATCCTTCCAACATTATCTTACACCTGGATGCAAGTTATTTATTTATTCATTCATTCATCCATTCATTTGTTCTTTTGTTCAATATTCACTAAGAGAAAGCACATGGCATACTGAACACTCATCCAGCATGCAGCAGTAAGAGAGGATCATTTCAAAACACAATAAGCAATCATTAAAACTTTAAGTCAAACTTACTCGGAATAATTCTTGGAACCAGTGTAGCAAATAGCCCTACCTATCTGTACACAAGACATCAAAACTCTAGGTCACTGAGACATTCCTAAAATATAGAGCAGTTAATATATGAATAAATCTGCATGTTCTAGGGTTCAATAATACCAGAGTTCAGTCCGTTTCAAACCATGACAAACAATCTTTGCATCAAACACCCAATAAACATTTACTAATCCAGGACAGGAGCTCTGGATTGATTACAACATACCAGCACAACAAGAACATGCAGGTTTCAATAAATGAAGAAACTTGGTTAACATTCGTTCTAAGTCTTCTTATCTCTAGAGAGGAGACAGGAAAATGAACCCTCTTCTCTCCAGGCAGAGAACACAAGGAGTAAAGCCAGAAACAACTAAAATTTTTCCATGGAACGCAAAGTCCACCTGCACTGGTTATTCTTGAGTTTCCCACTGCTATCAGTTTGAGGAGGTGTTAGCAGTGTTTCAGAAATAGGATTTGTAGGTGGGCAGGAAAACCTGTATTTCCACTAAGTTATACCTGTTTTCAGGAAAACACCCTTGAGTCTTCAGCATGAAAGATTATGCACTGTTCATAAGCAATGAATTTACTATTGTGGAAGACTAACAAAAATAACTCTAAATATTGCTTAATTGGTATCTCTGTTACTGGGTTTTTACTAAGTAAACACATCAGCTTTAATATAAGAATAATATTTAGTCATTAGGAAAACATCCAAACCTTGAACTTTTTTTAATTCTTTTTCCCCCCTCACAAACACACTAACTATAAGCTGTATTGAACTATTTTCTCACTTCATTCCACATGCGAATAATGGCACACATTTTTAAGATGGCTGTGGTCCTAAAATAGAATTAAAAGACCTATGTGAAGTTCAAGTCCAAGATGATGATCTGAACTCTAGCAGTTTTAGTGGCTTACACAGCCTGAATTTTCCACTTTATAACTGATCCAAAACAAACAAGATTCACAGTGCTAAGTCAGAAGTCACATTCCTCATAAAACGTATTTGTATTCAGCTGTTACTATTAGAAGACAAAGACAGATTTGTTATCACCAACATCCGTGTTATTCAATGTGGAAAAATTATCCCTTAACAGAGTTATCACTTATTGAATTTCTATTTACTATTGGATGCTTTATTAATGCCATATCAAATTCTCACAAGAATCCTGTAAAATAGATACTATTATGCCCTTTTTACACACAGAGAAAGCAAAGGCCCAAGATCATACAAATAGCAAATGGCAGATCTGGAATTCCAAATTGTTTCTGGTTTAGATACTCCCAAACTCCCTTGGTTTCTTTGATATTCCGTAACTTCAGCACTCTACCCCAAAGATAAAAATTTTACTCATGGAAAATACAAAGAAACAAAATAACAGGTAAGGTCTTCATGAACTTGCAACAGATCTAAGATATGAAGAGGAAATTTTTACACCTTAATGCTTCACAAACCATATCTTTTATCTAGTCAGTTTGATTTAAACATTTAGTTCAGGTTTTTAGTAAGTGGGCATTATCTGAGAAACTGAGAACCCAGCTAGATATTTCCTGCTGTGTGCTGACAAAAGGTAAATCCAATTCTTTACTTGGCTATTCTACTAGCTAAAAACCTTACTAAAGTTCCCTCCACATTTATGCACTCAACTGGATATATTAGGAATACTTCATACATCTGGAAGTGAAAAGATAAATGAAGGGGGAATTATTTTCTAGAATGACTCATTTTAGAACTTTTTTAAATAGCAAACTTCAATGTATAATTTTAATTTTTTAAAAGATTTATTTATGCATACAAGAACTGGGGTAACAGCCCAGAGGTGCAGGGATGAGAGGATTCACCAGAGACAGAGTGGGGAAGAGAACAGATTGACTGAAACACACTGTTGAGGGGAGCAGTAGGTGAAACAGGACAGGTCTGCTGTGTCATGTGGGTCAGCTCCCTGGTCCACCAGAAGATTGAACTAGTGCTGCAGTCGCTGCATCCGAAGATAGCTTCATAGTGCTGTAACTTAACCCTTTGCCCTATAATTATAAGGAAGCCCTATAATTTTAATCCTTAAAAAATATAACCAATATCCATGAAACCAGTGCCCACCTGCAGAAATGGACCAACAACGTACATTCATGAGCCCCTTCTCGCTTGTGAATTTCTGCCTCCCCTCTTAACGCAACTTCTTCTTTACCATATTTTAAAAATATTGTTACAAACATACAGATGCCTAAATAATATATTTAGCTTCAGCTTTTTCAACTTTTTTTTAAAAATAGATTTATTTTATTTTTATGCATACAAGAGCTGGGGTACAGGCCAGAGGCGTGGGGGTGGTGGTGAGAGGATTTGCCAGAGACAGAGTTGGGAACAGAACAGGCAGAATGACTGAAATACATTTCTGAGGGGAGCAGCGGGCGAGGGCGAGTCAGGAAAGGTCTGCTGCACCATGTGGGTTGCTCCCTTGCTGGGGATTGAACTCGTGCTGCAATGCTGCAGTGCCTGCAGTCAGCTTCATAGATTGCCTCCTAACCCCTTGCACCACCAGGAAGGCCCCAGCTTTTTCAACTTTAAATAAAGGGTTTCAGGGCCTCCCTGGTGGTGCAGCGGTTGAGCGCTGGGTTGCGAAGCTGCCCACAGCCTCTGCAGCGCCGGTTCGATCCCCAGCTGCTCCCCAGCCACCTGACGAGGGTCCCACATGGTGCGCAGACCTCTCCTGCCGCCCGCTGCTCCCCTCAGCAGTGTACTTCGGTCCTTCTGCCTGCTCTGCTCCCCACTCTGGCTCTGGTGAATTCTCTCACCCTCCCGCGCTTCTGACTGTACCCAGTGCTTGTATAAATAAATAAATAAAAATAAATCTTAAAAAAAAAAAAAAACAAAAAAAAAAACCAATAAATAAATAAATAAATAAATAAATAAATGGTTTCATACCATATATAACCTTTTAAAACTTTTATTGAACATTTTATTTTCTAAGATTCACCCTCATTGTAGCATGTAGCTATAATTTATCCCTTTCATTGCTGTATTAGAATGTATTATTCTATTGTAGTATGAATAATTTCCTGATTCATTTTTTTGCTGGTGAACATTTGGGCTATTTCTAATGTTTAAAATTTTAAATGATATAGTTTACATACTTCTCAGAAATAGATTTCTTCTGGGCATG